AAAATCATACTTATCATACCTATTCACATTATGGCAAACTGCTGATAACCAAAGATAAAGAGAAAAACCTTAAAAGTAACCAAAAAGAAAAGCACATCTCTCTTTCTGTCACTTGCCAACACACACACACACACACACACACACACACACACACACATACACACATGATTATAAGAATAAAACTGACTTCCGATCAGAATAAATGGATTTGAGAATGCGGTAAGATGACAACTTTAAAGGGCTGAAAAAAGAATTTCAATTCTAATTCTATATTCACTGAAAGAAAAAAATTTTCAGCTAGAATTCTATATTCACTGAAAATATCTTTCAGAAAGGAAGAGGATATTCAAACCTTTTCAGATATACAAAGATTGAGAGATTCATTGCCAGCAGACTTGCACTACAAGAAATGCTAAATGAAGTTCTTTATGCTGAAGGAAAATATTACCGGATAGAAATTCAGATCTATAGGAGGGTATGGTACATACTGAAAGTGGTAAACATGTGGGTGCATATACATGAGGATTTTTATTTGTTAATTTTTTTAAACAAAAGGATGTATGCTGAATTGTGTGTGATCAACTTGGTTATACACACTCTTATTTGAGGCTACATTTCCTGGAATCCCTTTCCCAATTTGGTTCTAGGTTAGTGTTGGCCAAAAGAAGAACTTGCCTGAGATCTGGAAAGCAGAAATAAAGCGGAAGTCATTATTCTTGAAAGACTGTGGCAGTCAGTCATGCTGATGGACAGGTGCAGAGATAACTAGCAGGTTTCACTTTGTTCTCATTCTCCTTCTGTTCGGTGTCTACTTAGTCTTCCCAACTGCTGGTCCTACTGACCAACAGTGACTCCAAGCCCAGCACCAAGTACTTGACTCTAGGCTCACAGGGCATTAGAATGACTATGGTAAAGGCTGCAACCAACTACTGTATTCTCTGATGTGTTCTACTATTTTTATTTTTCATCTTAATTGACTTCTCTTTGTAGTATTTGATGATCTGGTTTTCCTTAAAATGATCTTCTCTACCATTGGCTTTGTTGACTGTATGATCTCCTGATTCTATGTGTCTCACTGCTTTCTGGTCACCTGAGTTCATCTCCTATCCTAAACATGTGTGCTCTCCAGGATTCTGTCCTTGGTTCTCTGTTCTTCCCACCTCTCTCTCTCTCTCTCTCTCTCTCTCTCTCTCTCTCTCTCTCTCTCACACTCATACACACACTCTCAGAGTGATCTCCTTCATTAGTTCAATAAACAGAAATTGGAATGGTGCTAGCTACAAGGAGTCCAAAGATAAGAGACACCGATCTTTCCCTCCGGGTACCCATAGTCTATTGAGGGAGACAGAAT